TCTATCTATCTATCTATCTATGTATCTGTCTGTCTGTCTGTAATCTGACAATATCTATCTGTCTGTCTATCTATCTATAATCTGACAATATCTATCTATCTATCTATCTATCTATCTATGTATCTGTCTGTCTGTCTGTCTGTCTATCTATCTATCTTTACCTCTGTCTGTCTGTCTATCTATCTACCTATCTATCTATGTATCTGTCTGTCTGTCTGTCTGTCTATCTATCTATCTTTACCTCTGTCTGTCTGTCTATCTATCTACCTATCTATCTATGTATCTGTCTGTCTGTCTATCTATAATCTATCTATCTATCTATCTATAATCTGACAATATCTATCTATCTGTCTGTCTGTCTGTCTATCTGTCTGTTTATTAATCTATAATCTGACAATCTCTATCTGTCTATCTATCTATCAATCTATCTATAATCTGACAATATCTATCTATCTGTCTGTCTGTCTATCTATAATCTATCTATCTATCTATAATCTGACAATATCTATCTATCTATCTGTCTGTCTGTCTATCTATATCTATCTATCTATCTATAATCTGACAATATCTATCTATCTGTCTGTCTATCTATAATCTATCTGTCTATTAATCTATAATCTGACAATCTCTATCTATCTGTCTGTCTGTCTGTCTGTATATATATCTGTCTGTCTTTCTATCTATCTATCTATCTGTCTGTCTGTCTAGCTATCTATCTATCTGTCTGTATATATATCTGTCTGTCTTTCTATCTATATATCTATCTATCTATCTATCTGTCTCGTCTGTCTATCACATGTCTCAGTTTTTCACTTTACATCTTCTAGCTTTAAGAAATGTGCTTTTATTTTCACAATAGTAAGTGTTCTGATTTCGTGATTTCCCGAGAACAGTAAAGCATCACATCTGCTGAGGAATGTCTCGGTATTTAGAGTAGTGAGAGTTTGTGATTGCCCGAGTGATCTGTCACTCACATCGCGTGGATAAAGCAGAGGAAAAAAGAAAAAAAATAGTTACAAGATGGCGACCAACAACCGCCTGAACACTGGAAAACAATAGAGACAGCGCAGTAGGGCAGACTTTGTTTCTTTACCGTTTGCTGTTTCTTTTTCGTGTCGAGTCAAACCGGGGGATAGTAGTCGGTTGTGTGTACTTAAGACTTTTGAAGCAAATTTGGAAGTAAGCGAGTTTATAATGCTTTGTTTGAGGGCTAGTTAGCAAGCAGGCTAAGCTACATCCGTAGCTGTAATGTAACTGTGAGGATCAGCTGTTAGCCGCACTGCTACTTTAAAAGTTACTTTTACCAGTAAAACTCACTCGTAACTCTCCAAGTTGCTGTTTTGGGGCTGAATGGATGTAATGTATGCGTTTTTATCCATCACTTTCTAACCTTTCGTCGATAGGTTTTTTATCTCAAGTACGTCTTTTGTCAAACTTCAACTGTGAAGCGAAAAAATGGCACATTTATTTTTAATTTGTTGCTAAACGTTTCGCGACAAGAGAGAAAAATCGATTTAACGTGTTATATGCGCAAATATAAACGGGAGGTAAATATTTAAGGGTTTGAAGGTGGCAAAAGAGATACCTTAAGTAAAAGTTTTCAATCCTCTTAAACTTTTCTCTAAATTATTTACGTGTCTAAACAAATGTAACTTATATGATGAATACGTGATTAGTGTTAGTAAACGGTTTCATTCATAAAATTGTAGTTTGTACTTAATACTACTTGTGTCAGGACTCCCGGCTTGAATATACAGTTATATAAGAAACATTGTTCCGTGATTTTTGAGCGTTCGCGTAAAAGGAAACTTTGATTGGAGTTTTTGCGTTTCGACTCTTTTCTGAATATAAGCGCACACATCTGAACTATGTGCCATTTCTTTTGTTGTATAAGGAGGCAGAAAGTGCTAAAAATGGAGGCAGTTGAGCGTGTTTTGTAAAGACGCACACGCACGCAAACACTCGGAAACAGCACGATCAGTCCTGAGAATTGTGCTGGTATCCGGAGGCTCGAGTGAGTTTATAAACACGCTATTGTTCTGGATGATGGCGGATTTCGTGGTGCCGCGGCACAGCGCCGTGATGGAGCGGCTGCGGCGGCGGATCGAGCTCTTCCGGCGGCATCACGCCGGCTGTGAGAACCGCTATGACAGCACGGCCATGGAGCGGCTGGAGATGGACAGACAGCAGACGTTCGCGCTGCATCAGCGCTGCATGCAGACCAAGGCCAAGCGCTCGAACAAGCACCGGCAGCCGCCAGCGGCGCCGACCGCGGACCCGGCGGGGCAGAGAGGGACGGGCGGCGGGGGTACCAGCGCGGAGCTGGCGGACGGAGGGAGCGGGACGCCCGGGGAGCAGAGCAGAAACAGCACGCTGATCGCGGTAAGTCTATGGGAAACGAGTCACGATGCCTATGTAGATCTGATGACTGAAAGATGGTAGCTTCAAACCTTTCGTGTGATTATTTAGTAAGTACTACCACCATTGAGCTTACTCTGAGGACTGAAGAAGTGTGTTACAAGTTACTGAGGATCTCCTAAATGACCATAGTAAAGTAGACTAAGAACCTGAAAAGGTGCTTGAATGCACGTGCTGATCTTGTAGCATCGGTAAGTTTGAGGTGCTTCGGCAGGTGTGCTGCTAGTGGAAGTCGCACGGCTGCATCAGCATCAACAGCGCTGAGGTCATGTGACAGGAGCACGCGTCCAGCACATGTCACATGAGCTCCGTGCTGCTCGCTGTGTGCCGCAGATGTTTCGATGAATGATCACCTCATGGCCGTGTTTGTTTTTGCAGCGTGCATTTGCTGCACTTTCCAAAACACCATCACTGATTGAAGCTTTCAAAGCATCCCTGCTTCTAGTTTTCTTTTGAAAACACCCCTGGCCCTGAAAGACTTAAGGCCACGTGTGAGTGTCGTTGCATTGAATAAGAAATAGAGCACGAAAATACTTTTCTTAGGTTTGAAATATGTATAATGCAACTTTGTGATTGTGAAATGTTGCTGCTGCATCTGCCTGACACTTGCTCTGATATTTTCTGATGCAGTGACATTCTGAAATAGTGTCATCAAAGTCCAATGCTTTGTAGTTCCACTTTAAACAAGAGTAGTATTTTGCCCTGCTTGGGTCTTTAAAAAACAGCACTTCCTTCACATGTTGTTTTCCTTGTAAAGATTTTGCGGCAGTGCTATTGATTGAAACGGTGGCACAGAGAGCAGTGTATATTATAATGTTGAAACCATGGCTGGTTTTACAGAGACAGTCAGGCTCCTGAAACTGATAGCATGTAGTTTGTGGACATTAGGCCACAAAAAACACTGCAAAGACAAGTCATGAGTGTAGATTTACATGTTCCTCAGCTGATTAATCTCACACTGTACTGCAAGAAACCAGCAAACTGAACTGATAAGGGCAGCTTTCTTTATGAATGAATCACTGTAGCAACTATAACATCTGACAGCAGGTTTATTCTGTCCTGAAGAGGTGTGGGCAGTAAAGTCTCCTGAGAACTGACGCAGATCTATGTTGAAACCAGTGTCCTTTCCTCCATTGCACCAGGAACTGCCATGCATGAGAACAGGCCGTCTTCAGTTTGAGGTCTCAGTGTGTTGCATGTTGGTGCATTTCTAACATAAGCTGACTTTTACGTTTTTGAGGGTGATATTAGTCTAGAGATGTACTGTAGTTGAATTATGCGGAGTTTTGCGCACATCGTGTGTGTGTGCGCGCGCGCGCGCGTGTGTGTGTGTGTGTGCGAGAGAGAGAGCGTCACATCAAAGTGGAGTCAGCTGTGTTAACCGTGGCTTGTGTACTGCAAACACATACCAGCTTCATCACTGTGTCTGTCACATGACTCTGTTCCCCTTTCGGGCTTGAACTGATGGTAAAACTAATGACATTATTTACTGTCTTTACATTTATTTTGAAAGCTGAAGCTGCGATTATGGTAAGGGGCATTACATTTCCGACGAGTGCTTGCGGTGTTCGGCCAATCACAATGCACTGGGTCAGCTGGCCAATCAGAGCAGACTGCGCTTGTCAGAAGGAGGGACTTTGTAGAAAACGAAGCGTTTGGGAGAGGCGGGGCATAGAGGACCTACAATAATGTACAGTATTTGAAAAATAATGTGTTTTTTGAACATTAAAACATGTCAACATATTCTGTTACACCAAATACACAAAATAATGATCTTTAAAAAAGCATCATATGACCCCTTTAAGTCAATCTCTAAATTAAAGATTTTTCTAGGCAACTAATCACACGTTTATATTAATTTATTTGCGTGAATACTGGAGGGGGAACTAAACCATAATGAGCCTTTAATATATAGCCTATTCCACGCTTAATCGCACACATAAAGCTTGCTGCAAAGCACCGGCAAAAGTAATGACTATGAATGTGTTGGGGAAAATAGTATGGAGATATTTTAATTATTTATTAATAAACTAGTGTTTTCTGAGTCGGTGACGGCTGCAAAGATTAAATGGATGCTGAATGATTAAATGGATCACCATCTCCACACTACAGTCTTCAGAGAAAAATGCACTTTCATACAGATTGCATAATCGGAGTGTTTTTGTTTTGGATTTGAATTGGTTCATTCAAAAGTAGACATTTCAAGCTTTCTATAGAGATATTTCTCATGTCTGCAAGGCAGGTATAGCTTATATTTTTGTGATGCGCTCCAGTTCATGGAGACCGAGACAGCAGAAAGCACACCTTGTTTGTTTTATTTATTTTACATAAGCACAATGTTTTGTTGATATTGTGATTGTATACAAATAAAAGTAATATCATTAGACTGTTAAAGCAAAAATGATGGCGTATTATAAGTTGTTTCCAATGTTATCAGGGAAAAAATGCCAGTGATCACGCCGGCGCCTCCATGTCATGCAGTAGTGCGCTAATAGCTTCCACACTCTGCACAAACACTTGGAAATCCGCCTAATCTAGGGTTGATTAGGCGGATAAGTTGTTTCCAATGTTATCAGGGAAAAAATGCCAGTGATCACGCCGGCGCCTCCATGTCATGCAGTAGTGCGCTAATAGCTTCCACACTCTGCACAAACACTTGGAAATCCGCCTAATCTAGGGCACATTGATCTAGCTTAACATTCTAGCGAGCAGCCATGTAAAGTTGCTGCTACTTGCATGTTTCAACTCCAAATGATAAACCATATTTGAGGTCGATGAATGATAGGATAATTTTTGTGTTCCCATTTGCCCCAATACCAAAAGAAAAAAAACAATAGTGTTTCTATGACCAAAAGAGGGAAAAATATCGAGATGGTCATAATGTTGGTCAGAAGATGACAATTTTGCTGTCACTCCCTCAGCTGCTGTATTAAGCCCAAAGTATTATTTGGCTGTCTATGGTCTGTGCACTGTCCGCGTGACCTCTAGGTGGTACTGTGCATTAGGGCTGAAACCATTATTTGACATTATCGACAACATCGACGATAAAAAAATGTCGACAAGTATTTTTGTTGTCAAAAAGTCGTTTAATCTCATATGACCTAATGTAAGAGCCTGCAATAACGCAGTTTGACCAGTGTGGCGCTGTAGTGCAAGACTGTAATTCAGCTCTCCCAGATGAAATTCAAGAGACTTAAATATGTAAATGTGAACGAAATAACAAAATAAACACAACTTTGATCTCATATGACCTAATGTAAGAGCCTGCAATAACGCAGTTTGACCAGTGTGGCGCTGTAGTGCAAGACTGTAATTCAGCTCTCCCAGATGAAGTTCAAGAGAAGAGACCGACTTAAATATGTAAATGTGAACGAAATAACAAAATAAACACAATAAAAATGTCAGCGGTGAGAAAACGGCAGTTAAGAAAGCATCTGATCATAGCGACGTGGATAAGCTTGCACCAGCTCTACAATCGGCACTCCGGTCACGTCACGTTTATTTATATAGCGCTTTATACAATATAATATATTTTTATTAATAAATGCAAAAGTAAATAAAAAAATCATTACATCATAGTGATAGTTTGGTTTGCTTAGATTAAAGCTTGGATGTTTTTATTACTATAACACTGTAAGGTGCTTTAAGAGAGCTAATGTTGTGAATTAAATAATTTGTCGAAAATAAAATGTCTTGGCGCTTTTTTGTTCCGTATATGACTTACAAAAGGAGTTGTTAGGCAGAATGATGCATAATGCAGTCAGTCAATTACTACTTCATACAGTTAATTAAATGGTGAATGAGAAAGTCTGTCATCTCATTTTGTGTGCCAACTATATTCATTTGTATTGTAAAAAAATAATTTTAATTATACAATAGTAATATAATTGTTTGAGATTCACGTAGGGCTGCCACTAACGACTATTTTTATTTCGATTAATCTATCGACTAATTAATCTATTAATCTAAACGATTAATTTCCCACAAAAAAAATCTACAATTTTACTTAAGAATATTTTATTAAACTATATTTCATTAAATCAAATGAAAAAGTAAAAAAGTAAAGTGCAAGAAGCAAGTGCCCATCTCATAGTCCCAATCACTGAAATCAAAGTTCATTACAACATATCAACGTGTTCTAGTCTACTAATAATAAAATTATAATCAAAAAAACACTTTTTAAAGGAGTATTTACCAGAAATATTATTTACCAGAATTTATTTAGGAGAAAAATGTAAATGTGCAGTATTTCTGAAAAAAAATTTTTTTTATTTTTTAATAAAATCAATTAATTGGAGATGCTTTTGATTTATTAAAATGTAATTTATCCATTAAAACGGAGTATAGGAAAATGAAAATGGAAAAAAATGAATTTGGAAATAATATTATAATATAATTAATTTTTTTGTGGTAATAAAAATAGAATAGTACGTGAACAATAGCCTTTAAAATTACTTAAAATACATATATAATAGCAATGTGGCAAAAATAATTAGTTCAAATAAAGTATCAAAAGCAAGAAATCATATGGTTTTATTGAACAAAATTGTT